AGTCAAGGTCACAAGGTCATTGACCGTGGTGTCATTTGAAAGAACTTAATCAGTGGAGTATGCATCCCAAATATGAAGTCCCTAACTCCTATGGTTCAAAAGTTATGGCCAAAAGTGTAAAAAGCTATTTTTAACATATAGGTCACAGTCAAGGTCACAAGGTCATTGACCATGGTGTCATTTGAAAGAACTTAATCAGTGGAGTAAGCATCCCAAATATGAAGTTCCTATCTCCTATGGTTCAAAAGTTATGGCAAAAAGTGTAAAAAGCTATTTTTAGCATATAGGTCACAGTCAAGGTCACAATTTCATTGACCTTGTTGTCAACTGAAAGGACTTTATTAGTGGAGTATGCATACCAAATATTAAGTCCCTATCTCCTATGGTTAAAAAGTTATGACAAACAGTGGAAAAATCTATTTTTAGCATATATGTCACAGTCAAGGTCACAAGGTCATTGACCTTGAGGTCACTTGAAAGGACTTCATTAGTGGAGTATGCATACCAAATATGAAGTCTCTATCTCTTATTCTTCAAAAGTTATGGCCAAGGTTAAAGTTGACAACAGACAAACAGACAGGACAAAAACAATATACGCCCGGGATCTATCGATCCAGGCGCATAAAAAGAAAAAAATGCCTGTAAAATGCAGAAAAATCATCCAATCATGATGAAAATACCAGGTGCACACCTTCATATGGTGAATAAGTGTACAAATTTTCAAACAAATCCATCAAATACAAGGGTCATTCAAAAAATATGTAGACAATGCTTCTCATCGTCATATAATAATTACAAGATTATAGATCAACATATTTTTGTAAACATAAACATTTATTTTGTCAAAGTGTGAAGTTTAATTCCATTTGATTAAATAGAACTCATGTTAGCCAAAATTTAATCCAACATGTTTTGTTACCACAGAGCAGGGTTCACAACATTGTAACGTCAAAGACAATGTTGAGAAAGATTGTCAAAATTATACTAATTTTCTTAATTTCAAACACGGTTTGTAGAGTTTTCTCCATTCAAAAAAACATATCCATAACACTTAAGACCTAGTTTGTGAACAATTGTACAAATATAGCTTGAAAAAGAATGTCATTGTTTTCAAATTCTTCAATTCACCATGTAACTCTATTAATTCTGCAACAGTGAAGCACACATCAAGTTCAGTGATGTTCCTAACTCTTTCGACAATATTTTTTAACTTTAACCAGTTTCTTTGCAGACAATCCATAGTCCGATTCAAACTCGCTACCACTCAAAAATTGTATTTTCCATTTAATACAAATACAAAGATTATTTTTCATACAGATCCTTGTTTATACGGATTTTTTTAAGCTTGTAGAGGAAGTTTCCCGAATGTAAAGTACAATTTTATTGCTACTTGCTGCTCCGTGACGTCCTCCAATGTCATGGTTTTTTGCTTTTTTCAATCAAGTCTATATGTATTTAGAAACTGATATTTTTTAATTGGAGCGACATATTACATGATCTGATTTCATTTTAATTAATACAGCAATGCTTTATTTAAGCATGTAAATTCTATTTCGTTTCTGCTCCATTTATTAGAGGTATGGCTGTAAATACTATAAAGTGAAAATTAGAAATTTACTCAATTTTGAAGGTGCTCCGTGACCTGATTTTTGCTGTTCTAAATCCTTGGTAATTTTAATAAATATTAAGATACATTCCAAATTTTTTACTCAAATTATTTTAATCTGTTGTTAAAATATTTGTACCAAATTTGGATATAATATGACGTTAAATAAAAAAGTTAGGACAAAAGTCTACGAACTTTTTGAATGACCCTCGTAGTTTCTGAGAAATGGTCTGGACAAAATCTTGTCTACAGACAGATGGACAGCCGGACAGACAGACAAGCTGATTCCAATATACCCCCCTAAACTTCGTTTGCAGGGGTATAAAAATATTTTTCATACTAAGAACATAATGTAAGGCTTCTTGGAGTTAAACCCAGTATCCTTAAATTTGTATTCGAATGCTTTACACACTACACTACCAAAGCTGGTGATGGAACAGTGCTTAGAGCATCTGCCCTAGTCACGTAGTAAGTCAATCCTTACGTTGCGGGATTGAATCCCTGTGGGGAAGAGGAGACCAGTCCCTCATATGAGACTGTATAAACCACCATCCTGTGTCACAGTATGTGTAGGTGCTGGCACAAAAAAGATCCCTCCTTGCTCATTGGTCCTATGTACCAACATTCATTAAAATACGCAGCATTCCATGAGCCAGTGATGGCATCTACATATGAGTTAAAATTTTGAAGAGGGACATGAAACAGAATACAAAACCAAAGCTGATGAAAAACATTGGATTTAACTTAATTTATAGCAATTTCCTTGCTTTACTCTATATACAATGCTCGACATATAATTCATATAAATTACACAGTATGTGTACATAATTTGGTGCAATCATTGGATATGGAGTTGTTGGAGTAATCATGAATTAGCGCTACACATGTTGTGTCATATATTCTATATAAATTATTTCTTAGTGCTCAGTATTCATGAGTTAGCACATCCTCGTCTGTGCCAAAGCTGCTAAAATACAGTCAAACCTGTTTTAAGAGGCCACTTGTGGGAGAATGACAAATTGGCCACATAAGACAGGTGGACTGGCCACTTATTCCAGGTTTCAAACCAATTAATAAAAAATTGGGACAACAGTTGTATATTTATTCTCACATGTATCCAAATCCACAATTTCAACAAGTTTAAAAAACTTGGGAAGTTTTAAGTCACATGAAATCCCTTTTCTTATATTTCATTTTACATGAATTTCTGAAAGAAATCTGTTATTGTTTTTTTTGTGTTGGTAATTTTAATTTAATTTAATTTTTTACAGCCATAAAATTTACATCACACAAAATCATGAAATGTTCTAACAACTCAGCATTTCCTTGATGCTGTGTAAAGCTTTTTAATTAGTTTTTCTATAGATATGTATTTATTTATATAACATAAAAGGTTAAATGCGAGACTGGCCACTTGCCTTGATAACCTCTGGTGAAATTGTAATTAATGTATTGAGTTTATATCATGAACATATTCAACAACTTACATTCGTATATATATACTCAACAAAAAAAGAAACGCATATTGTTTTACTCATCAAAGAAATTTTTAAAATGTACCTGGAACAACTATTTTTTATATCATTGGATACCTGTGACCTACTTAAAGGACAACATGGGGTTTTAAAACCCAAATGTTGAATTATCTCCCTTGATTAAACAATTTTATGAAAGTAGTGTTTTTCTTGATGTCTTCTAAATCGGATGTCTATTTTCGTTGATATTTTGGATTTGGAGAAACTATCAACACTCCTATTAAACCCATATTTAAGATTTGATTGTAGTGTTGATGCTGCAATGCCATGCCGAATCAAAGATGAACACAACCAGGCTAACGATGATAGTAAACGGAGCTACGCAACAGGAAGTTGCAACTATATTTGGAATAAATCAGTGGGCTTTGCAACCATTAAACTAACGTCTGAAGACCATTATCTGGCCATCCCCAGGTAACCACAACCAGGCAGGACCGTCAGACCCCCCCCCCCCCCCCCCCTGAAACGATTCATAACTTGCTGCTACAATTGCTAGATGAAAAAATCAGCATAAAAAAGCATAAATTGTTCGCAAGAGACTGAAAAGAGATGGTATTCCTCCACGATATCCGTACATTGGAAACTCGCTAGTATTGAGACGTCACACAGTACATATTGTTATGCCCCTTGAATTTGGGGGCGATGAAAATGGCATCAACTTGACTTTTCTATTTGCAACATAGGACATGTTTGATTTTTATCACAACACACTCTAAAATCACTTAAATAAAATAAGGTTTAAACTTAAGGACATATGCAACGTACCTTACCTACTGATAGATTTCCAAGATATGCCAAATTTAAACTTATGATATAATTTCATGTTCATAAACAAAAAATCAGCATGCCTTACCAGAGGTTTTTAAAAGATATCGAATTTTGAAAATTTTTGCATTATTCAAATAAAAATGTACAAAAATTTTAGAACATAAATTTCAGATTTTTTTCTTCAAAAATTGTTTTAGAAGAGGTGAACAAATCCATTTACAGACATTAAAAATACTGAACACAGGTCCTTCATTTAGTGGAACTCTTCAACTCAAGGGGAGAACCCGAAAAAGCTCAAACTACGTTGCGTATGACCTTAAAACTTAGATTTTCATATTATTCTGAATATGCATTTCTTTTTTTGTTTTGTATATAAAAAGAACACCAAAAACATTTGTTAACAATAAATCATTTAATCATATTAATTTAATCATTAAATCCTGTCAGAATTCAAATTAAACCTGCAATTATTGGTCATTATAATCATTATCAGCTGTTCATGTTTGGCTTACAGACGGGAACAAACCGTATGAGGATACGAGGTCACGTGCCAGACGGAGGTAATGTGACAAAACAGACAAAATGGCCGCTGAAAACAGGCATGTTTAGCGCATGGGACCTAAAGACACTGGCCACTGGCCGCGTTAGACAGGTGGCTGTTTAAATGAGTTAAAATATAGTGAAAAAATGAACATGCGGGATTGAAACTGGCCGCTTATGAGGAGTGGCCGCTGATTAAGGGTGGCCGTAACAGCAGGTGCGACTGTATGAATTTTAAGTACACCTACAGTACATTTACATGTTTAAAATTGGCACAAAGAATTTGGATTTCAGTAATGAATATGTTTGTCTAATGAATGTTGCTTTAGTCTGAACATGCTGAGGGAGGGGAAAGAAGATTTCTTCAAACAAGATTATATGCTAATATAAGAACAGTTATCTGCCCTTTGATATGTACATTGGAATTAATGTTGTGAGAGTTTAGTTTGTCGATATAGCTCACCTGTTTGATCGGTTCTATCTGGTAAAGTGCTGAGGACAACTGGGCTTGTAATGTGTCTGTGAGGGTTTAGTTTGTAGATATAGCTCACCTGTTTGATTGGTTCTATCTGATGAAGTGCTGAGGACAGCTGGGCTTGTAGTGTGTCTGTCTCCCTGCAGGAAATTCAAAGCATTCTATTATACATGTTAAATGAATGTATTCTTTACACATTTTCAAGTCTGAGATACACTTCCCCTCCCTGGTATAAGGGTATACCCACTCTTAACCCACCTCTGTAATTGTTCCTGTCTTTTGATGGCATCCTCTAACTTCCTGGTCTGCTGGTCATACTGTGTGAGAGTCAAGGATACCTCCCCACCAGGGAGAATTGTTCCTCAAAATTGTCAAATATAATGTTCTTTAAATTAATAATATCTTTGTGTACAAATTTACAGAGAACTTAATTGTCCATAGTTAAACATATGAAATAAAGCTGTTATGTACAGACCCTGAGACGTACTACTACCCCCAAAAAGCGTGTGACTTTCGTGCGCTTTCCGTTTCGTGCAAACCGTGTAGCGTTTCGTGTAAACCGTGCAGCGTTTCGTGCAAACCGTGTAGCGTTTCGTGTAAACCGTGCAGCGTTTCGTGTAAGCTCCAAAGCGTTTCGTGCAAACCGTGTAGCGAGCGTGCGAAAAGCGTGTGAGAAACGTGCGACTTTCGTGTAAGAACCGTGTGAGAAACGTGTGACTTTCGTGCAAGATTCGTGTAGGATTCATTCGGAAGTCATTTCATTTTAGATATGGCTATCGATGGGTCAGGGTGTTAAATTGTATAAGTATTTTGTTATTGAATTAATTATGCTTGTGATATTTTAGGAGTAAAAAAAAAAGAAACAACAAAATGAAATTACACGGTAATGTATAATTTATATTTGTTTGTTATCTTTTCCTTCTATAGAAAATGTGTTCAAATTAATCAACTATGTACAAAAATTTTAAGGGCATTGAAATCAATATACTTTCAACGCGATTATGGCTTCTGAAATATTTTTTTCTCAAATAAAGATATCGGTAAATTTTTTTTTTAATTTAAAGCAAAAATATATCAGGACTTTTGTCTTTACATTTAAAGTACGTGAAAGAAAGTTTTAAAACGATGTGTCATTTAATACATTTTAATACATGAAACCTGTTGCTCATCATTGTCCAATAAATGGATTTTATAATTTTAATTCACATGCACTGACGACCACATGTTTAGAAACAGGGGGGGGGGGGGGGGGGTTAAATTAAATTACTAGTACAGTCTTTCATTTTTTGTTGTACATGTAACTTTCAATCTAATGTTAGTTTAAATAAATGCTTAATTTTCTATTCTTTTTTAAATGCTTTATTAAATATGTGCACAGATACACCCCTTAAAAATGTATTGGAATCTTCTTTCCGCCTTTCAACTGTGATCAAGATCAAGGTCATTTACAACAGCGATCACGGGCTCCAAGTGCATGGCAACTGAAAACCTGTTTTGTTATACGAGTTCACGGCTTAATGACACCTGAAAATTACGACTGGATTTTTATTGTTTTTGAAATAAAATGGTTCTATAAACATTTAATTGGTACAACTTATAAATCAGCGGATTTCATCTTTTACTTGTAAATCCAAATTTCTAGCCGTAAACAGTAAAATTAACAGAACTAATTTGGTAGTCTTTTCATGAATATCATGTAAGAAAAGCTTAGGAGTAAATCATGAATAATTGTAAATTATTTGTTTTATAAATCACGTACTTTTTATTTCATCTAAGATATTTCAGTTCTCTTGTAATATACCTGAATGCCGGTGTAAAGATCGATCTACATTGTATGTACAATGTATAGTCAAATGCCGCGACTATTAATTAGTGTACACATATACATACGTTTAGTCAGGTTTTGAAATGATTGATTTTACAGTATGATGGGTATTCTGATGTTATTTGATAAGCTTCATGTAAAAAGAGAAAGAGAATAAAAATAGATTAAGACATCACATTTAACCCCTCCCCCCTTTACCGGTTAAATCATTAAAAAATGTATCAATAATCGTCAGTAGAGTATATAGGCAAATTTTATTACTAAATCAAAATCTAGAAAAATTATCTGCCTACGGAAATCAAACACAATATAATCAATATTATTTAAAATCAATGAGTTCATATTCCTGCCGTAAGAAATCGAATTTGTGTTTAATTTATTAAATTATACACGTCAAAATATTACATTGAAATGAATGACTAATATAATTAAAAATTGTATTTTATTAAACAGTCATCCATAATATCGGCATTTCGTTTTTAAACAGTTTAATAAATGAATAAATAAATAAATAAATACGAAATGACAATTATTTACTTATTAATTACAACTGTCAGAGTATTAAATATTCCATCGGTTTAAGAAATACTAGTTAACTGATATTTAATTTAAACAGGTGCTAAATGTGACTTTGTGAAGATTTCCATTAAATTAATGATAAAACCGTAATAATGCCCGAGATATTCCGAGTGTAAAAATCCAAACCGAGGCCAAAACGTGCGAGAATCGTGTACAAAGCGTGTGAGAAACGTGTTCAAAGCGTTTCGTGCAGCCTTTCGTGTAAACCGTGCAGCCTTTCGTGCAAAGCGTTTCGTGTAAACCGTGTAGCGTTTCGTGCAAACCGTGTAGCGTTTCGTGTAAACCGTGCAGCGTTTCGTGCAAACCGTGTAGCGTTCGTGTACCGTTCGTGCAGCGAGCGTGTGGGGTAGTAGCACGTCTCAGGGTCTGTAATTCTCTGATTTAAAACATAGGTATTAATGACTGGTTGAAAGAATGTATCAAATATGATTACTGTTGATAGAATTGGATATTGGTATGGTTGATTGACTTGTATCAATGACTTGTAGTGCTTGCTTCTGAATGGTAATCACTACTGCAGTGTCTTGTAACTGTATGTCTATAATTATATATTATAGACCCATATACAATTATCTCCCTATACCTCTAAGATAAGAAAAGAAATAACACCTATTAAAACTGACAATTATTAAATTTCCATTTCTTTCCATCAAACAAAATGCTAAATCAGAATCTTTTCATTTCTTTTTCATGTTAAAATGAACCTTTTCCCTTATTTAAATTTATCATTACTTTTGGCATGTTTCTTTTTTTCTGTTGTTTTTCTTTTGTCATTTTGGTTTTTAACAAGAGGCCCACGGCCACATCGCTCAACTGAGCTATATGGCTAGGAAAAAAGCAGAAATCAGTTTATTATTGAAAAATTTAAACCCAATAATGGTCCCAACATATCCTTAAAACTGAGAGGGTATGATTTGAACAAAATTGAATCTCCTCCAACTAAGGATGCTTTCATATTTCTTTGACTACCTGGCTTTATTGACCTTTACATTTGAACTTACACTGTGGCCACGCCCTACCCCCAGGGGTCATGACTTGAATAAAATTGAATCTACACTACCTGAGAATGCATCCATATGAATAGGACTAATCATGGCTTTGCTATACTTGAGAAGAATATTTTTAAAGAATTTTCCTATATATTTCTATGTTAAACTTTGATCGGCCATTTTGGCCCCGCCCTATCCCCTGGGTTCATGATTTGAACAAACCTGAATCTCCACTACCTGAGGATGCTTCCATAAAAATATGATCATTTCTGCCTATGCTATTCTTGGGAATAATATTTTTAAAGAATTTTCTATATTTCTATATAAAACTTTGATCCGCCATTGTGGCCCCATCCTTCACCCAGGGGTCATGATTTCAATAAATCTGAATCTACACAACCTGAGGATGCTTCCATATAAATATGATCATTCATGCCTTTACTATTCTTGTGAAGAAGATTTTTAAAGAATTTTCCTATATATTTCAATGTAAAACTTTGATCTGCCATTGTGGCCCTGCCCTACCCCCAAGGGTTATGATTTGAACAAATTTGAATCTACACTACCTGAGGATGATTCCACATGAGTTTCATCTTTCCTGGCCCAGTGGTTCTTAAGAAGAAGATTTTTTAAAAATGCCATTAATTTTTCATTAATTTATAATTATCTCCCCTTGGAAGAGGGCATGGCCCTTCATTTGAGCAAACTTGAATCCCCTTTACCCAAGGATACTTTGTAGGAAGTTTGGTTGAAACTGGTCCAGCGGTTCTTGAGAAGATGAAAATGTGAAAAGTTTACAATGACGCCAATGACGACAACAGACAACAGACAAATTTTGATCCGAAAAGCTCACTTGAGCCTTCGGATCAGGTGAGCTAAAAATTGATAAAAAAAAATCATTGAAAAGGATATCTTCACACTTTGTCTTGTACTTCTTGATAAGCAAGCTGAAATTAAAAGAAAATAAATAATGATGATGTTCTGTATTTCAGAACTTGATTCTCACACATGTATGAAATTATAAATTGCATCTATGTTTTGCTTTTCTATCTTCTTTGTTATATGAAATACAGATGATTTTTTCACTTGCTGTCTTTAATGACCATGTAAGTAAGGATTAGGTCAGTTTACTAAGCATTTTTTTTTATAAATCTTCATAACAGGGAAGCAAAGATCAATTTCCCAGTGACTTCCTACTGTACTACTATTATACATGAACCATTTAAAATTACTAATGTTTATTTTTTATTGTGCGTTCCTCTAGATAAGAGCTTACTCAGTGGATATTATCTTCTTTTTCAGTGTGTTGTAACTCCGGGCGTGCTCTTCCTGCAGCTTCTCATAATTCTGAAATTAGAGGTTAATATTATTTACATGTTATAGAAATTATTAATGAATGGATTGAACAGCAGGATGTATGCCTATTGTAACGTGCAACACGGCCGAGCTTGGTGTTTGGTGATATGTCTTGTATCACCGAGGCGTTACACTAGGTTCGTTAACCTGTTAACTCAGGTTTTTGTTGACCAATACGATTATAATTAAATATGTACAAATATAAGGGGTTTCTTCTTGATTGGACAACCACTAACTGTGGTCAACGGGTATCTCCCGCAATGAATTTCACTAGTCCTACCACTCCACTAGTACTACTGCGTCTTGGCACTTCCTCCACCTCTAATTGTGGTATATGCCACCTCTCTCTACAACCAAGTGACTGCCTTATTCAGGTCTTACGTGCTGTGGTGTACTGTGAAACACTTAGCTGTTTATCCCCTACAACCGTCTGCCTTATTCAGGTCTTATGACCGTATGTAAGAGAAGAAACAAACTAATGTTTATCCAATCCGTCACCAGAGAGGGCCCCTGAGTTCCTGTAACACAGCATGTATTACCTCAGTGCAGCCCCAGTACATAGGCAGTTTCATACTACTTGTATGATCTGAGAATTAATATTTTTTAGTGTTTAAGAATTTATATAAAAACGTAGGTCTAACGTTTATACGAAACTAAACTGTTACAACAACCATTTCCGTTTCACTATGATCACTCATTGCTTATTTATACTTTTAGACTCTATTTCAACTACATGATACAAAGAAAGAGGTACATAAGATTTATATTATAACATTAGAATTAACAATGTAACTCCTGTTACCCCCATCTGAGGAGAGAAGAAACACCTACTTGTCAGTGAACATCTAGTTCTGCAATAGTCTGCTTTGAAGAATTTGTTCTACTACTATTTCCTATAGGAATGAACTGACGTAGTATGAAGTATTCAAAGCAGACTATTGCAGAACTCTTCAGTATCCACGGTGTACATGAATTGGATATTTCTATGAAAAATCAACAGTTACTTTATATTTTGTTGGATTAAAACCTTTTAAAGGTAAGAAAAGAAAGTTTTATAGTGATAGAGACTAGTGATGAAACGATTGTCGCCGACGATCGATTGTCGATCGTTTTTGGGAGTTCGATTCCGATTATCGATTACGTTTTTCATAATCGATTGTCGCCTAAATAAACTCGCCCGAATAAACTTGTATGATTTGAATGAAACTATAATACATACACATTAACAATACATGTAAAACGAAAGGAGGTCAACAAAAAGGCTTTCGAAGACGAAGTTAACAACAATCAAGCAGAAATTTATCCATATCCAGGGAATGCATAGATAGAACATTCTATTGTTAAAATGATATTTTCGTTCCGTGTATTCGTAATGTAGCAAAAGAAACACTGGCAATAAATCGTACTCAGTGCATTTACTGCGGACAATCTAGAGAGTTCCGAATGTTAACATGGCAGGTAAGTTTGAAGCGAGAGAAAAACATTGAGAACATTAATTGGATTTTCGTCTTTATATGGATTATTTTTGGGGATAAAATGCATCAGCACTCTCCAAAAGGATTGTTTTGATTTATTTGGAAGTTATTTCCAGTGCAAAGCTTTTATATTCTTCGAAATCGTGTCAGAGAGCGTATCCGCTCCGATTTGCTACATTGCAAGTATATGGGACGTATTCTAACTGTGTCGAGGTCTTGTATTAACTAGGGAATGCAAAATCTGATGTCATAAAAAAACATTTTTAGTTTTATGAGCAAATATTTAAAAAAAAATTCTGTTTCTTTGTTATTTATACAACAAAAAAGTTGTCTTTAGAATAAACTTTATAACATTTTATTTTTAGTTTGTTCCATAAATGATAAATGCTGTAAAGAAATAGAATTTTGTATTTGAAATTTGAACTACCAATTAAGTCGATGATTAAACGATTAAGCTTCTCCGATTTTGACCAATTATCGATTATGAAATTTTCCCGATTATTCAACACTAATTGAGACTGAAAGGGATGTCAAAAGAAAAAAGTTGAAGCTGGCAGCTAACTCATTTCAGCCTGTATTGATTGAAACGAGCGGATGAAGTCGGGGCAAAAAATTCCTAATCAAGTTGTATGGGATTGCTCTGAGATGTCGAAGGGACACAAGAACAAAATTTTACTCCCTATGACATCTCGATGAGATTAGATACACATGTGCCAATAAAGGTTTAAAATATTAGAATAAAGGTAAAACAAAACATTTATTGACTGTATTCTTGGGCAAAATGTGTTTTGTCGGACCCTCGGACCAAACTGTTTCTGTGTTTGCCTTCAGTATAACGGCTTCGGGCAAACATTGCCCTCGAACTCAGTCAATAAATGTATATTGTCTACTTAACCAGCATGTTGACCTGGCATTTGTTTCATTGTTCTAAATACCCTGACATTACCTTTTTATAGACTTTACACTGCTCACACCAAATGTTTCCCGAGTCCCCGTCTGTGATCAGGTCAAAGTCTAGGGAGGGGACACTGTCAGTCCCCGGGGCTGGCGATAAACTGTCCACCACGTCCATGATTGATGTGTGGACATAGTACCACTTACCAAATTGTCACAGCTGCAGAAAAAAAAAAATACTATCTTTATCACACGTGCAAACTACGTCAGTTGTAAAACAACAACACGAGGATAGAAAGGAAGTTTTAGACGCAAAATCAGCAGTACATTGAAAAACGTTAGTGTTTCAAGCATAAATTTTTATCTTAAGAAGGGTGCCATTATGAATATCTACATGTTTCAAAATCAAATAGCATAAATTGGCAAAAAAAACTTGCAAAAAGTATCAGAATTCCCATACCGGAAGTAAAAGAAACACCAAATAATATGTAATGATGAAAGACGGAACTGGTAGGTAAAATATTTCCGGATATATATTTTTTAAAGGCGATAATCCAATATCTTGAATAATAAGCGAATATATAAAGAAAACGAGGGCTACAGCTTGCTTTAAAATTTTTCAATGTCTTTATTCGAAAACCTTCTTACACAACGACCCTTCTACATGATATTCTTTCATGCACATGTAAATGAATCTTCAATGACACTGGGAAGGTATCCTTCATTCCTTGGCCATTCTCTGTTTTTAAAAGAAATCCAACAAAAGTGGAATAAACTTGATTAAATTCTAAAGTTAAGCCGTCTTTCATTATTATTATTTTTTTTTATATAATTTATTTATCTATTTATCTATTTATTTATTTCATCCCCGTTTTCCTTTCCTGATTCAGTTATTTATTAACTTATGCAATACATGCAATACACAGTTGATGAATTTATAAAACGGGAAAGAAGAAAATGTATGGCTTCACCGAATTAATTTATGTACATACGTTTATGCTTTGCAAGAAGAGAATGGCTGTACGTGACCCCCCCCCCCCTCTCTCTCTCTCTCTCTCTCTCTCTCTCTCTCTCTCTCTAGCTTTTTAGGTATGGTATATGCAGCTAGTGTTAATTTTGATTTTTTTAAAAGCTATTTAATTTCTCCAATACAGTATATCTCATACGCTTCCCCTAAAAAAGGTTATTAAATTAGTATTGTGCCTGCATAATTTTGGTAATAAAAAGGGGACGGGAGGGGCCCCTCCCCTTTAAATCCTACATTGATCTGTTTGTTTTTCTCTTTCAATGTGTTGAAACTGACTCATGCACAAATGTTTATTGTGATAAATCGGGCATCTAGCATCAACCTTGAAAAAATATGTCAGCACATGTATTTCTGTACCACCAAGATGAATTGAGAACTTAAAGATGTAAATGACAATTTTTTTTACTTTACACGTGTGTTGAACGTTTTTACTGCCGTATCGCGACTGACGTTAATTTCTTTAAGTCGTGACTCCACGCTCCCATCCTTGCATACTAATTCATCGAAGAGACACAGCAACTCGAGAAATTAACATTATTAAGATTTATAGTTTATTCTTTAATTGCATATAAATTTTAATCCATATTTTGTTAATTACTCGTTTAAATACTAGTAGTAGCCCCTTACAAAATCGCACAACAAACAATATACATATAACGAATATAGAAACGTTCATTACCATTGACAGCCTTTTCTTTATCTATTTTACAGCTAATTGTCTTGTTCATCAAGATGACATGGATGAAATATGCATACCACAACAAGCAACTTTACGTAAAAATTACACAGATAAAAAAAGCTAGTTCACATTCTATTGAATTTCAGTCTGTTCACCTACAATCACATATTTTTTTTTTAATTTCACCTCAGCATTTTCTTTACATACACCATACAACGCTTATTCTTTTGCAATCAATCTGTTTTTCATATTCATAACAATGCATGATGTGCAGGCAAGATATGAGTACAACGGCCATCTAGATCTCATGCTCTCGACTTCATTACAAAAGCCTAATCCCAGAATAGAAATCTTACCAAGACGTACATTATATAATAATATTCGAACACTCGAAATATTAAAGACATTAATTGTACACGTATCCCTGTATTAAGCTTGAACTATATTGAGATTTTCATCGTCACATGTAGCTTATGATTAATCTTAATAAAAGATGAGAAAAAAAGTTCTAAATTCTTCACTTTTATTTAAATCGGTTTCCCCATTACTTTTTGTAACATTTGCTATTGCAAGTAATGAATGTTGAAATTTCATGAACACAAATTTATACTAATGGCGGCAAAATGTCTAACATGAACCCGCGTATGTTTTCCCCCTGAGAGCAGAATTGTGTCGCGTGGTCAGTAATTCCTTGTTTACATTGACAAGATGAATTACGAGTCTACATTACTTTGATTATTACTCTCTTGTTCATAGTTTGTCAGTTTTCGTCTATACTTGTCACTCACTAGGGGAATTCTGAGACGGTCCACTGTGTGACCTTTGTCGTGACCTCTACATAATTTCACAAGAGGAAGTACATGTAACTCTACACGTACAAATGCTACTGGGGTAGATTTATATGACACAGTACCTACTTCTTTAATTTTGAAGAGTTTTGACAAAAATCCTTAATTTTATAAATACAAATTATCATATTATGTAATTAACAAGGAATGAAATGATTTGACTGCACAGGCTTACAATGTAACATTGTACGTATACATATCATTCTTCGTTTTCATTCATAGAAAAAGCAGAGTCATACCTTGACAGTATTTATTACCAGTGAATAGGTTTTTGACGGACCACAATGTTTGAATGTAAATTAATCTTCTATGCAAAATTGTATGCACTTTGATAACAACCCACTCTGTACTATTGGATCGGGCCGATGATGGTTATTTTGTGATGAGTCAAACAGACATACAAACATTTAATCGTCTGAAAACACTGTTTTGGTGCTTATCTTTTGTTTTCTATTTCCCGGGGATTACCCGTATTAAGAAATTGGTGAGTACATTTTATATAACTTTTTATGAGACAGAGATATGGCGCCGACGAGGGGTCATTAATTTTTAAATTCAACAATTATCATAAAAAAAATACAGAGAAACTCGTCGTTAAGTACTCTGTCAGTCCTCACTAAAGTTCATTTTTTATGCAATGTGGAAGAGACCGATTAAATGTAATCTTACACCTTTAATCTGTTTTTCAAAATATAAATAAAAACTTTTTAGAATCAAACGACTCGATTCTGTCTGGTGTGGTTTTGAGAACACCCCTAGGACCATGGCCCGATTTTCGCAGTTCCTAATTCCCTTTAATATTTCATGCGCAGACTCTTTACCAGAGAGCCTCTAGCTACTGAGCGACATTTCATCTCTTTGAAATAGTGAAATGACAAGCAATAATTACAAATCAAAACAAAATGACTCTTAACAATTTAGAGATTTTTCTCTCATAATTTTGTCAATTTCGACGTTAATTACTTGTGCAAGCTATTTTTGAACAAATTAATGTAGACAAAATTAAAGTAATTCGCCCAAAGGATTCTTGCGGAATCTTGGCAGAATCAACATTTTTCGTTGTCTTGCTTTGCTCACCCTAGTAATAAAGCTAGAATGATCACTATCCTAACCATGAAACGTCTTCTTCTTTGGGATGATTTAACTCTCTTTACTTAATTCTCATGTATCCCGATATAGCAAAGTGAAATTTTGAAGTGGATTGCCTTTATTAGGAAGGTAAAAGTATACAGATACGATATACTGTAGGAACTCTAATATCAGACATCTTGCTATTGATACATGTACATATAAACAGTGTACAAAAAACAAGAAAAAATGTGTACAAGTAAGTATAAAACTACTTAATGTGTAAGCGGGAGAAGCTTGATGTCTGTTGGATTTTACAAGATCTCTTGGGACTCGTACAATGACGTTAATATGTTCAATTTAACGCATGAATATCAATGAAAATCAATTAAAGAACATCATTACGATGCAGTGAACATTTGTTCAAATGCCTATCTTAAAAATTCAATTCACCTTTCTTGTAAAAAAAAGATTGAGGGGGCTGGGGGGTCAACAAATTAACCATCAGATATAGCTTAATTTTTTTTATATGATATCTTAAGCTGTCAACTATCATTTGGCAAAGAAAAATCTCATACAATTTAATTTTGAAATTTCATCATTTTTAGCTCTACTGGTCAGAGACCAGAAGAGCTTATGCGATAGTAATGCGTCCGGCATCCGTCCGTCTGTCTGACTGTCCGTCTAGCTGTCTGTAAACAATTTTTCAAAATGCTGCTCCTCCTACAGTTTTGGTCGGATTTCAATATAACTTGGCACACAAGTAGACTATACTAAGATACATAATTCTGTGCATCGGCGTATGATTTCGAGGAACGGTACCGGTATTGCCGTGGTTACTAAAAATAGAAATTTCTGTAAAATTCTTTCAAAAAGCTACTTCTCCTACAGTTTTGGTCTGATTTCAATATTACTTGGCACACAAGGAGACTATACTAAGATACATAATTCTGTGCATTGGTTTTTAATTTCAAAGAACGAGGTTGCTGTGGTTACTAAAAATAGAAATTTTTGTGAAATGCTTTCAGAAAGCTACTTCTACAGTTTTGGTCCGATTTCAATATTACTTGGCTCACAAGGAGACTATACTAAGATACATAATTCTGTGCATCGGTTTTTGATTTTGATGAACGGTGTTGCCGTGGTTACTAAAAATAGAAATTTACTGTGAAATGCTTTTAAAATGCTACTCCGTCTACAGTTTTGGTCTGATTTCAATATAACTTGACACACAAGTAGACTACACTAGATTCATAATTCTGTGCATCGGATTTTGATTTCGATGTCTAAAAATAGAAATTTCTGTTAAATGATTTTAAAATGCTATCACAAATATATTTGTAGTTTGATTGTGATATAATGTGTCATGCAGATAGACTACACTAAGACACATTATTGTCTTAATTTTTTTTTAAATTTATTCCGATGAACGGTGTTGCCATGGTAACTATAATTGAAAATTCTATAAAAAATATTAAAAGTTACTCTTACAGCTGTAGTCTTATTGCAGTATTGCCACCAAAGACTTTATCAAGGATAATCATTCTGTTTTTATATTGCTGTTGTAAAGATTCAAGTCCCAACTGTAACTTTTATCTTCCTTTGTTATAAGTATAAATCAGTAGAGCTACAGTCTCGACAGAGACTTCTGGTTGTATATCTTTACATGGAGCTTTCTTCTAATGGAGATCAAAATAGTCTGAAAATGGCTATAACCCCAGCCCTTTTAAGCAGGATATGACATTTAAATAATATAAAACAAGCCATTATTTCATGTGATACATGTAATCTCACGTTGAAAACATGTCGTTAGTTAATTTGTGTTTGGTAACCACATCGCGCAAATTAACCTTGTTCTTAAGATTTTTATCTTCAGAGAAACTTTAAGTTACTTGATCAAATGTAACTCAACAATGCATGTTCTATCTTGTTTTTCAAATCCCTTATAATTCATACTAGAAAAGTTCAACTTTTTGTTTGACAGATTTCGTTGGAAACTGTCCCCGGTCTATTTATTCTAAATCATAGTAAACGTATTTCTTGACCAATGTCTTCCTTGTTTATACTGGAATAAGGCCTAATAATTTAATGACATGCCAATACTGTACCAAGGAAAACTGCAAATTATTTCCGCCATGCATACCTGACACGAGAATAAGCGATTTTATTAATACGTTTGTTCAAAGAATAGGTTAGGATCAATTTAAAGACTTAATATTTATACTGTCAGGTCATACAAGGTATTTGAGAAAAGACTGGAAAATTCATGAATGCATACATTTCGGTAAAAAGACAATTATTCAAACGAATTCATTTTGAAAGGTCTTAATATATTTCACCTGTCACCCAAGAATGATGTATGATTGTTTTTTGGCCATAAAATATCTAATGCAAATAAAACTTATCCCAGATATGATAAATTAACCAAATTGATTGTTATGTCCAATTCTATATGTATGTGTTTTAATTATCATAAATATCATTTTCCTCAAAGAAACCTTGAGAGTGTAATTAACAACGTACTCTAACCTTGAGAGCATATACTTTATTCGGTTAGTAACGCGGTTTGAATCCCTGATTAAACTTAAAGTGTTTCCAGTTATTAATTTCCATAATCAATTCATATCAAATTCATTATACTTGATATATTACAGTATCATATTTTTTTCGTGTATGGTATTGTTATGGAAAGTTTAGACTAAAAACACAATTAATTCATTATAATTCCACTTGATGCTCCACAATACTGGTATAGGAGAGGGGAAAATGAACGTAGTGAATGGTTGTTCACTGTGATGATGAACGTAACGGTGAATAACTTTTTGAGCTGCGACAAGGAGGTCCTCTTACTCCGTCCTTGTTCATGCTTGTTGTTAATGTTGTTTCGATCGGCGATCGTCGTGCCGTGGGCAACAGCTGAATTCCACACTTTTCGATATTTACCGCAGAACATAAAAAACCTAGACAGTAGACACGCGATCTGACTAAATGTGAGTGTAATGGCACGCCCAAACTACATTGTATTTCCATGTCTTATTTTTCAGCAAACAATCAGCTAGGAATCATAGAGATGGCATTCTTGGATTTTCTGACGTCAATATTTTTTAATTGAGTTTCCAAATATTTTAAACTGCATTTGGTCATTTAAACGTTCTGAAATAAAATGATACTTTTTTACTACTCTTGAGAAAACATTGATATAAGGATTCTTTAATACTAATCATGCATGTATATATACATATATTCCGCGATAATTTACAAATAAAAGCAATTAAAAACACCAGGTCATGCATGACAACAACGAATGAAACTTCCTATTTGCTTGAACAGTAAGTAACTATGTAAGTGGACCCAGGCCCTAATCGTCTGATAATAAATGTCTTCATTTTATTTCATTATTTCATCATACCGTTTCCGCATTAGAAGACCCCGCTCCGCTACTACTAGCAGCAAAGTTCAGAGATTTTGGGCTAAAACCGACGTGATTCGACAACGAGGAACTAATGTAATTGGGCCATGTCGAGTTTTCAACTGTTAACATAATTATTTATGTGCAATAAAAAGATCTAAAAATTATTGGGAGTTGCCATGTTAACAGAATTTAATGTGTGAAGTTTTACGGTATTAAAAATTTTATTGGATAATCATTACGGTAACCTTAATGTAAAAACAATTATGAAAAAGATTTAAAAATAAAATGAAACAGAAAGTGGTTTATTCATAGAAATGCAAGATGCATGTCTATAGAGTTACATTTTTGTATAAAATTGAAATTAATTGTATGTAAATATCTCTAAATAACGATATCACTGGTTAATCGTTTCTGTTTTTAATTTCATTAATTTAATTTTACTTTCAGTATTCATCTAAATATATTTCTTTCTTAAGTTTCTTAATTAATTCCAAAATTTCATGGTCTTCAGGACAATTCCGGTCCTACTCTTAAGACGAAATTTATTAGACTTTTTAACGTCTAAGGTCTGTTCTCGGATAGGATATATTATCCTGCTATTAAGTCACAGTAAGTATAAAGATAACTTAATATAGACAGCGCTTAATTTATCATTATGTAAATATGTCAAATGAAGATTTCCATACAGTTTTTATTAGTATGAGGCTTTGTGACGGCTCGATGTTCCAGAAAGAAGGCTTGGAAATACATTTATGATTTTCTCGGTCTAAAACTGAAGTTGTAAACTGTCAGTTAGTAGTTTTTTTACGATTATATTTAAGGTAATTTTTCTTAATATTATTTGGAGTAAGTTATCTATCTGACAAAATATTATAATACCCCCTTCCCCAACCAGCGCCAAAATATGACGAGATTAGCAAATGTATTCTTATTAAAGGTACATGTATGAAACATTTAAAAAAAAAAAACCATTTATAAACCGTAAGAGTGGTAAAATTCTTCAT